TCTAGGGCAGCCCCTTAAATATTGGAAGACTGTCATCATGTCTCCCCTAGTCCTTCTCTTCACTAGGCTAGCCATTCCCAGTTCCTGCAACCGTTCATCGTATGTTTTAGCCTCCAGTCCCCTAATCATTGTGGTTGCTCTTCTCTGCACTTTTTCTAGAGTCTCAACATCAACTTTTATGACCAAAACTGGATGCAGTATTCTAAATGTGGTTTTACTAAGGCTTTATAGAGTGGTAATAGTACTTAGTTAACTTTACCTTGATTGCATCCCTCTGTTAATGCAATTTAGGATCGCATTGGTTTTTTTGGCTGCCACCACATGTTTCTGGCTCATATTGAACTGATTGTCCACTAAGACTTCAAGATCCCTTTCACAGTTACTGCTATTAAGCCCGGTTTCACCCAGTTTATATGTGTACTTTTGGTTTTTCTTGCCTAAGTGTAAGACTTTGCTTTTCTTAACAAAAATTTTATTTAACAAAATATAGATAATCTCTTGTAGGTTACTAAACAATTTTCATGCTCGTTATATTAGTTAACAAAGAATCTTACAGCACCTTAAAAATTAGCAAGCACATGAAAGATTTGCAGTGTCGCATTACTAATGTAAATAATTTTTGCATTAGGAAAATACATAGGATAATACCAGCTTGTTATCTGTACACTTCTCTTGTTTTCATTAGAATAGGTGATATTTAGAACCACTGAGCTCATCTTCTGCAGTCCCTAACATAAACAATTGAAAAATCTGATTTTTCAAAAGAAATATCATCTTAAAATTATCAAAACATAGATAAGGGGAATGAAACGGCAGTGTGAATGGAATAAGGCTTAGAATGGGGATGACTATTAAAATAAAGATGAGGGATTTAGACAAAAGTTAGCACAGGAACAACAATTAACCTTAGACATGGTAAATTGGGTGCTATTGAGAAGGATCCAGGAGTCTAGACCACTGTTTTTAAACCATGGTGACTTTAAGATGTGTGGACTTCAAGCAGTGGTTGGTTGCAGGCGGTACACCCTGGTATTGGCGTACCGGAGCCTGCCCGGAGCACTGGGTACCATTCCGGTACGGTGCTCCGGATGGCCCACCTGTCCACCCAAGTTCCTTACCTGTCCTTTAAGCCTTTGGCGCTTCTGCGCACACTCATGGCACGTACGGCGCCTGTGTAACCCTCCACCGAGCAGTTGGAGCCTCACGGAGGCTTGCGGAGGCGTCGCAGGCAGGTATGACACATGTGCGTGCCGTGCACATCCCTGTGGGCGACACCGGGCCCATTCCAACCGTACCAGTTGGAATGGGATCCGGAACCCACCACTGACTTCAAGTCCCCAAATTGGCTCTCAGCCAGCAATTCCGGGAAATGAAGTCCATGCACCTTAAAGTTTCTGAGGTTGAGTAAGAGCGAACATATGCAGATTAGTCAGATTAACAGAGTTGGAAGGGACCTTGTAGGTCATCTAGTCCAGTCCCTTGCCCAAGGAGGACACCCTATACCATTTTGATCCTACACAGGTTTGTAATATCTTCTGATGAAAAATATGTGTTAATTTAAAGAATAATAATGAAGCGGCAGCCAATATTGAATCGTCAGTAATAATTATGTTTAACATTGATCAACTTTATTGGTAATGGGATTTCTTTCTGATGGTATTCCAGTAGGTCAGACCAGACCAAAACAAAACAAAGCTTCATGACTGCAACTTCAAGTGAGAAAGATTAATTTGTTTTCCTGCTTCCTATTTCTACAGAATTCTGAAGTCTTCTCTGAAACTGAATTAAATCAACTATCTTTCTTCCTGGATTTTATGTGAATGAATATCTACTGTATTTTTAATTAATTTCCAGGGTGCTACAGTACCGTATTGCAATAAACCCATTTAATAAAAGTAATGCATAATTAAATACATGGTTATGATTTACTTACCTAGAGGCACAAAAGGTTTTGACGGCATGCTTGGCTTGGAAGTCCCGATGGCATTGACTGCGAACACACGCACCTCATAAGCAACTCCCTCAATCATCTTTTTGGGCTCAAAAGTTGTTTCTTTAATAAGATCAAAATTTAATCTCATCCATCTGGAGCTTTGCTTCTTTTTCCTTTCAATATAGTATCCTAAATAAAATATATGCATACATTTAAAACCTATTAGTTGAGGTTAGGGTTAGGGTTAGAATTTCTAAAAATGCAATTGTTATGGTAAAGGTAGTCATTCCTGACTCTAGGGGGCAGTGTTCATCTCCGTTTTAAAGCCGAAGAGCCAGCACTGTCCAAAGAAGTCTCTGTGGTCATGTGATCAGCATGACTAAACAGCGAAGAGGCAAAGAACACTGTTACCTTCCCACCAAAGGTGGTTCCTATTTTTCTACTTGCATTTTTACATGCTTTCGAACTTCTGTTGGCAGAAGCTAGGACAAGTAAAGGGAGCCCACTCCATTACATGGTGCTAGCTGAACTGCCAAACTTACTAATCGACAAGCTCAGTGTCTGACCCACTGAGCCAACATGTGTTATGGACAGGACTTATTTCAGGATCTAATCAGGGTCCATTACCAGGATGAGAGGTTTAGTCTTCTCAGTTTTCAGAAGACCTATTTCACTTGGTCACCTCCAACCATCTAAATAATAATAATAATATAACTTACACATTTCCTTGAGTAAAAACTCTCAATTGAAACCCTTCTGCTTATGAATAGTGTATACTTCCATTTCAAAGAGCCACCCAATAATTCTACAAAATCATTAAAACACCAGTTTCTACATACCTAACAGAGGAGATCCGCCATCATAGGCTGGAGGTTCCCAGGTCATAATACACCAGTCTTCTCCTATCTCAATCACATTGGGTGCCTCTGGGGGATCAGGAATATCTGTTGCAATTAGAAATTTTAAGTTGTTAAAAGTTTTACTGGAAAATAAAAGAGTTTTACTTTTCTTCATCTCAGACCAAATTACTTATAGCTATATTGGAGCAAATATCCAGGCTCACTTTAAAAAAATCCAAAGTCACTTACATTATGGAATTTAAATTAACCACAAATAAACTAAATCCCATTGATTTCAATAGATTGGATCAAAGACATATTTACTTGGGATTTCACATTAGGTTTTCATTAAATAGATAACGTTTAACAAAATGTTTCAAATGTTATAATCTAAATCAGGGGGAAAAATCATTTTGAATCCTATTTTTAACTCAGAGCTATTGAAAAGCAACACTCTTTAAAATGACTGAAAACATACTCAGAATTCTAAGTCATTAGGCCAATTTTCATGCTGGTTGGGAATTATAGGAGTTTAACAGATTAACAGAGTTGGAAGAGACCTTGTCCAACCCCCTGCCCAAGCAGGAGACCCTACACCATTTCTGACAAATGGCAGTCCAATCTCTTCTTGAATCATCATCACCAATCATCACCAATCTCCAGTGATGAAGTTCCCACAATTTCCGAAGGCAAGCTGTTCTATTGGTTGATTGTTCTCAGAAAATTTCTCCTTATTTCTTGGTTGAATCTCTCCTTGATCAATTTCCTTCCATTATTCCTTGTCTGGCCTTCGGATGCCTTGGAAAATAACTTGACCCCTTCCTCTCTGTGGCAGCTGCTCAAATATTGGAATACTGCTATCATGTGTCCCCTGGTCCTTCTCTTCACTAGACTAGCCATACCCAGTTCCTGTAACTGTGCTTCATATGTTTTAGTCAGTGGTGGGATTCAAATAATTTAGCAACCGGTTCTCAGCCCTAATGACCAGCTGTGTGGGTGTGACTCGGTGGTCATGTTACTGGGTGGGCATGGCCAACTCAACATCACTCACTTTGTGGGCGCTTTGCCTTAGCTGTTACAGTGCAATGAGGGCTTCTGTAAACAGGGCAATAAAGATTAGGCTAAAACATATGAAGCACAGATACAGGAACTGGGTATGGCTATTCTTTTGTAAAGAAAGAACAGGGGACTCATGTTAAAAGTGAT